CAAAATCACTAACTTTCCATGAATTTAAAGTTTAAAAAAGGGCCTAACAGATCCTATGATAATTGTAAGAAATACATTTTATTCTTTTTTTTTTTAAGTAGTTTGGAACACTTAAATCCCAACAATAAGAGAACAAAAAAGTTGATTTAAAAATGGGCAAAGCCCTTAAAAGATACCTCACTAAAAAAGATATACAGATGAAAAATAAGCACATGAAAAGATGCTCCGCATATGTTCTCAGGGAAATGCAAATTAAAACAATGAGATACCACTACGCACCTATTAGAATGGCCAAAACCCAGAACACTGATAACACCAAGGCTGGTGAGGATGTGGAGCAACAGGAACGCGCATTCATTACTGATGGGAATGCAAAATGGCAGAGTCTCTTAGAATGACAGCTTGGCAATTTCTTACAAAGCTAAATATGTTCTTATCATACAATCCAGCCATCTCACTGCTGGGTATTTATCCAAAAGGAGGTGAAAACTTATGTCCACACAAAAACTTGCACACAGTTGGTTATAGCAACTTTATTCCTAATTGCCTAAATTTGGAAGCAATGAAGATGTCCTTCGGTAGGTAAACAGACAAATAAACTGGTACATTGAGACGATAGAAGATTATTTAGCACTAAAAAGAAATAAGCTATTAAGCCATGAGAAAACATGGAGAAACCTAAAATGCATATTGCTAAGTAAGAGAAGTCTATCTGAAAATACTACATACTGTATGATTCTAGATATATGACATTCTGGGAAAGGCCAAACCATGGAGACTGTAAAAGGATTGCCAGATGCTAAAAGTGGTTGTCAGAGGTTTTGAGGAGGGAGGGATGAACAGGTGGAGCACAGAGGATGTTTAGGGCAGTGGAAGTATTCTGTACGATACTATAATGATGGGTACATGTCATTATATATTTGACCAAACCCATAGAACACCAAACCCGTAAAACACCAAGAGTGAATCCTATCACAAAGTGTGGGCCTTGGGTAATAATGATGCACCAATGTAGCTTCCTCAACTGTAACAAATGTACCACTCTGGTGGGATGTGGAGAATGAGGGAGGTTATGTATGCATGGTCAGATGCTCTGTGGGAAATTTCTGTACTATCCTCTCAATTTTTGCTATGAACTTAAAATTACTCTAAAAAAACGTCTTAAAACTAAAAAATATATTTTTTTTCTTTGCACTTCAGAAGACCTCTAAGATCTCGCAAAAGTCATGAAGTACCAATCATACATATAGTTAGAACTGTTCACAAAAACCAAAAACCAAAACATCTACAGTTGAATCCAAATTGTCTTAGTAGTATATCAAGGATTAATCATTTCCATTACTTTTCATTTTTATGGAACCATTGTATCAATCCTTTCATTTTGGGGGAATCCATCACCTAGATTTTAAGAAATGAGAATTGGAATCTTTTGACACCCTAATTTAAGCTGAACCAACCACTCTATATGAGCGCATATATTCATAATGTGATGACATTTATAAATAGGAAAACAAACTGATATCTTTAAATACAATATATTTTATACCAAGGGTTGAGAAACTTCTTAGACACAATAGCCGCCAGGGGTCAGTAAACTGTGGCTTGTGAACTGTGGCTCTGAAGTAAAATTGAAAATGAAAATAAAACTATCATAGTTTCATTTACAACATTTTTAAAGGATATTATTCACATAATGGTGATTATGTAAAAATATATTTATGGCTCTCACATAATTTTTAAATTGTTGTGAGAGACAGATTGGCTCTTCCAGGGGTTGGCAAACTTTTGAGATGGAACGTACCCAAAGAGACGCATGTGGCTCACAAGCTGCAGTTTGCCGACCCCTGTTATATACAATGTTATCCTTAAAGTTATTTATAAAGCTAAGGTATTAAATTTATTTAATGCCATCTAATGTTAGCTCATAAAAGAACGAGCTTTTTCATTTCTTTAATAAAATAATTAAACTATTTTGATAGTAGATATTTTATCATATCTATGTATATAATTGCTTGGTGATGTTCAACTCTGAGTTTAAAGAAGAACATTCCCAGGGCCCACCATCTGCAATTCTGTTCCCACACACAACAAGGTAATCTGCATCCCAGCCTGGATTGGACTGAGTAGGTCATCATGGAGCATGGAGCATCATGGGAAGGTCGCTAAATTAGACATTAGAAATATCTGCAGTCAAATCCCTGTTCCAAAGAAAACTCATTCTGACCTCAAAATATTAAATCTGTGAGTATCTCATGTATCAAATGAAGTTATCTTCCTGGTCTTTCCAATATCATAGATTGGCTAAAATAACAATGATTATTTTGTTCTGAGATGAGAAGCATCAATATTTGAACTTGTTCAAAGTTTTCTCAGCATCTTTTCTTCCTCGATGATTAAAAACAAGGCCAATGGGGACACACACACGGACGGACACACACACACACCATCATCATCATCATCATCAACACCATTTCTCAGTGAGTTTTTATTTAATTTTTAATTTTATTGCATGTCTTGGCAAACATAAGTGGCTTGTAGATTTGCCTCTGGCTCACCAAAAGCCCATAACACAAAATACCAAAAGACAAGCAACTGAAGTTTTAAAAAAAGTATCATATCTATACGAAAGTACCTTTCAAAACATTAATAAAGTATATAAAACATTTGATATTTACTTAATTTTTGTACAATTATAAAAATAAAAAAAAAACCTTTATCATTCAACATCCCACATACTGTATTTTAGGGTAATATTAAGAAAACAAAACGTAAATGGATTTAATGAACAAAGTTCTATTCTCCATTTCTGTTTCTAACCATGTCCAAGCAAAAAACTATCCATTATTTGGCTAACAGCATTGAGCTGAGGCCACCAGAACTCCATTCAGCCCACTCCTACTTGTTTGTCCTTAATATTCTTTTACCCCATTGTCCTAGTGACTCATACACTCAAAGAGCATTAAGTTTCCACCAGGGTATGAAGCCAGTAGTTGCACCTAGGCCTGGCTAATGGCATTCCTAAGAGATACAGTACAGGAATTTCTGAGTCCCTAGTGCCATCTCCATAGTGCTGAAATAGCTCATAAGAAGTCCTTACGTTTACCCAAATATTCAGGACAGTGAAGAAAGCCATTTGTCCTCCTAGCTTTGCCAAGGCACAGCTTTCATTCTTCCCCTTAATAGGTTTTCAAAGCTGCATGCTTGTTCTACAAATTAACAGTGCTTATTATCATTTAAGCACAATGAAATTTTGAAATCAAGGACTCGCTCTCTTTAACATACAAAATAAAAATAATAATAAAAAAACAATAACTTTCCCTTCCCCATCTTACAATTATGATTTTTTTTCTCATTTGACATTGTAGTCTTACTAACTGATATTTCCATGAAAATATAAAAACAATAATAATAATAAAAAAGGTGTCGGTTGTGGTTCTGGAAAATCTGCTATCCCCAAAAGAAAAAAAAAAGTAATTGAAACAAAATACGCAATTTTACATGCAAAACATATATACACTTTTCAGATGAAACTCACACATTATATTTTAGAGCCACATTAGCCCTTTTGCACTTTAAAATAAAAATGAAAGTTTATGTGCAACGATAGCCTCTTACCAGAAAGCACAAGAAGATTTTAGAGCTCATTAGCATATACACAAAATATTGCTTTTATAGTTTGAAAAAAAGAACTTTGCTACAAAGTATGTTTCTGAAAGATCGAGGGGACTGTTGTCATTTACATGTCTTCCCAAAGTTTGAAGACAGCTCTTTGTTTATATGGTTCAAGCAACAGCTTCCATGAAAGGCTTATCCCCTGAGCTGTGGGGACATTTTGATGTCTAGGCACAGTCCAGAAGAAAGACGGATGGGGCATTGGGCTCTCACAGCTACTTTCCAACAAAGTGAAGCTCTTATTGATCACAAAAGAAAAGTGATACAGTGATGCAACTGATGCCACAGAGGGAAACTAATCTCATAATGTTATATTTCCCAAATCATTACTCCTATTTTAAACCTTGAGGATAGATAGATAAATAAGCCTCTACATGGCAGGATTTCATACAATATGAGTGTCTTTAAGAGAAATATTTACCAAACAATATTATCTATGTTTCAAAAGATCTTCCAAGAATTTCAACTCATGGTTCACTGAGATCTCTTACTGTTTAGTGGAGATTCAGTATTTCTATATAATACCTGCTTTGCCTGGATATTCTTAATGGATATTTCAACATCATTGTAAGAACTACAGCATTTGTCCCAACCAACTCAACCTCAATTCTATCAAGGGTAGTAAATGTGTAATTGAGTTAGTCAAGCTAGTAGTACAATTTAGTTTTACGCCTTCTATAATGGCAGCAAATATTTTCCCAACAAATACTATGAGATCAGGTAACTGGTATTAAATTTGAGGAAATTGCTGATATATCCAGATACATGATACTAGGTGTTTTTAAACTGGCTGCCATGGACATTTTAATAAATTTAGCTATGACCCACATCCCCCATTACCAACCAAAACCAAAAGAGGATATTTCCTTCCTCAAGTGTGTGATCATGTAAATATGAACTTTTTCTTGTAATTGGATTAAATAACCCCAAAGTGAACCACCATCACTAAGTAGGGATGCCAGTAACAGAAAATACACCAACACAGGAAATCACATACATATGTATAGAGTCTCACCCACATAATAAGCAATGGTAAATACGAGTGGATCTATCCACAGGTTTGATGTGGCATGTATTTAGCATCAAAAGAAGTAAAGGGACCTATACAGCGTTGTCATTCACATGTACCACCAAGCTCTAAATATGTGTTACCATACATGGTATCCCATGTATATGAGAGAAGGCATATAGATAAGCTATCCAAAATAAGTAAATTGAAAAAAAAAAGTCAGTAAGTGCAACTCAATTTCCTTTCCTTTAAATTACATTTTAAACAACACTCAATGCCCCCCACTCAAAAATATATATATATACTGTATATTTATATATTTATATATATAGTCTTAGACTATAAGGCTGAAAATGCTTTATAAAAGTCAATGAGAGATCTCTGCAGCCTAAGAAGATACCCACTGCTTTTTTGCTCACTTCTACCTAGCCATGACAACTTAAGTCCTGCAAGCAACAGATTTGAAGGCTTAAAGCCAGAATCAGAATCAGACACCAGGTTGGACATTAGGTAAAAGGTAGCCTCTTACTTCTCCTTCCTTTAAGAAGCCAGACAGAGAAGAGGAAGGAGCTAGTGAGGATGCTTGGAAGGTCAAACAGTAGTGCCTTGGAGGGGGCTGGGCAGACAGGAAGAGGCTGGAAAGAGCTCACACAGTAGTGCTCACTCTCCCTCCTCTTTGATACGCTGCTGCTTGTTGCGGCGAGCATCCATGTCAAAGTTGAAGTCATTCCACTCATCTCGAGGTGGGAAGGAGATGGTCTGGCGGAGGGTGAAGCGCACGGCGTCAATCACACGCTCACCCCGGGTCTCACTGGAGCCCACACTGACTGTAGAGGTACCACTTGGGGTCCGCAGGAGGTGGGGAGGAGAGGAGAATTCATGGAGCTGCCGGTGATCCAGGATGCCCTTCCAGATGACATGTCGGAATTGCTCAGGGATTTTTAAACTTGCCAAATCCTGTGTAATAGGAAAAGAAGTCAGGGAGAATTAGGACCAACAGACAATTGATATTCAATCTACATCATTTTGTCATTTCCCAGTGCTCTGGTTTAAATGACCTGAATTTATTGATCCCTAAGTTGGAAAACAAAATTAGCTCTCTGATAACCTTTGGCACTATATGTAACTAAGCACAAAGGTACAACCTTGAGGCACCATCTCTGCTCGTGAATAACACTTCACTCATTCCCTACTGGTCTCACGTCCTTCATTAGTTAAATGTGGACAGTAGTTAGATCAGAGGGCAAAAATCCAAAACCAAAAACATAAGGTAAAGTTACCAGCTGACTCCCAAATCTAAATGTCTCTAGTCACTAGAAGAAAGGCATTAATGGAATGTAACCAGCAATCAAATGAGGAGATGAGAAAAAAAAGGTTACTATCAGGTATTGAACATTTTCTACGTGCCAGGCACTGAACTAATTATTTTACATTCCTGACCTCATTGAATGCTCAGATAAGTGGTAAATATTATTACACCTACTTTTAGATAGGAAAGCTGACGTTCAGAGAGTTGACAAGTCTACATTTACACAAGTAAGTGAATGAATTGGGGATGCCGGGGAGCCTCTGAGCCTAAAACTGCCCTAATGACTAAAAGATTTTGAGGTGTTTAGATAAATTAGGGTATCAAAATGTAGGGTATATGCCTATGTCCTACGGATAGGAGTAGAAGGCATTATAAATATGGTTGATTTTAATAACTGTGGTGGCATCTCTTACATTAATCTACATTAGCTCTTCATTAGCTTGTTTCAGTGGTGGCTCATAGTTTTTTTATGGAGCAGCATGATGGGTAGAAAGAGCATTGTGCTTCCTGTCAGAAGACCTTGACAGAGAGATTCTTCTTCTGTCACTGACTGGCTCTAGACCTTTATCAAGCCACTTACTCTCTACTGGCCTCATCAGTAAAATGGGATACAAGTCCTGTTTAGGTCAGCACACATTGTGGACTCATATGTAAATGTGGACATAAAAGCACTTTGCAAACTATAAAGCATGCTATATAAAGCTTGGCCATGTGTATTATTACTGTATTACTATTAACTGATCCTTGCATCTTAGAGGGGATACCTATGAAAACTCCCAAATTTAACCACATTCCTTATCCAGGAAGGGATGCCAAATAACTTAGGCTGGTGTTGTGAGACGAGCTGAAAAGGCGGTGATTATTTCCAGTAACAAGATGGCAGAAACTGAGTTGAAGATGCAGAAATTAGATAGCGTCCAGTAGTTCCCAATACAGAAATCTGCAGTATGGGTAGCCCAATTTCTTATTCTAACAGAAGAATACACTATAAAAAGGGTAATCCACAAATAAATAAGTGAACATAGCTCTTTATGCTTCTGAAATTCCCAGTAAGTCCAAAACTCGTTGTAAAGTACGCTCTATTAATCAACATGCCTGGATAGATTTTTCACTTATAACTGACTGGTGAGAATGCTGTGGCCCAGAAACTGGCACGAGATCTAGCCAATGCCAGCAGGAATGTACTTGTGGAGAGCATCACAGGTCCTGACAGCCAAGGGAGCATCTTGACACACTCCCCTGTGGGGACCAGTTAGCAAACGGAAGATATAGCTTTAAAAATAATAGGGAAGGGGCAAATTCCCTGTTCCATCCTGTAGGACTCTCATGCACAGGGCAACTCTGTTCACTTCAACGAATGGACGTTATTGTAAAGTTATCTGCAACCTGTTAGTACAAACTCCTCAAGATTTATAGTGTTCACCTATAATTTCTTCCAACAGGGATCAGCAGCCAGGGGTGGTTTATGTGGGGGCAGAAGGGTGGGCACAGGGGCAGCACAGCATATACTTGTCACCATGGGGCTGGGGCATTCTCAGGCCGCAAGGGAATCTCTAGCATCGGTGCTCAAGGAAGGGGAAGAAAGAGGTCCCAACTACAGAAGCAGAAGCAGAGGCACAGTGTATCTTCCTCCACCAGCCCAAAGGGCCCTCTGGAAGCTGGAAGAGAGGATAGTAAACCCCAAAGACAGCAGCATGAAGGGCAGCCTGGGAGGAAAGTCAGATTGTCTTAAACCAAAACAATATGAGCTCCCATGTGAGCGATAGGTCAAGACGTACCGTAGAAAGCAAGAAAAGCCCCCTCCCATCCAGCTTGCTCCAAAAGAAAAACCAAAGAATGTCGAAGCCAGAAGAGAGATTGTGAACCCGATTTGATTAAATGTGGCCCAGAGAGGCAAAGTGATAACTCCAAGTTCTCGTTGCTACTACAAAGCAGAGTTTGGACTTGAACCCATGACTGGCAATCTTCCCCAGTGATCAGGGATGTCTGGGCCTTACTCTGATAGAACTGAAAATGAATGAACTCCTCTCACTGAGAGGAGCAGCTGAATCCCCCATAAGGTCCTACTTTAAGGAAAGGCAGAAACAGCCAATTAATAGAATTAAAGACAAGAAGTTTACTCCTCAGGGTTCTAGTCCTGGTTCTGTCATAAACTCATCATGGTCAATGACTATATTGTTCTCTCTCCATGTTTTAGAGTGAGACTAATATCACCTGCTTCCTGCTATCATCCTTGGGATCTTTTACCAATTAATGAGAACATCCAAAAGGCTCTCTGAAGTCTTTAGAGACTATAGGTTTCCTGAGCGGGAATTAGATCTCCTCTTTCCCACTCTGTATATAATACACATGCAATAGACAATTGACTGATCAAACAAGCTGAGGAAGACTGATTGCTAAGCTTCTTATATGTATAGGCTGAGGCCTGGCAATCTTTCTAATAAGGTCATGGATTCCATCAAAATTGAGGATGGGGGGTATGACAAAAACAAATTTTAAAACCAGGGGGATTGAAACTACAAGGTGGATGTCACCAGAGGGAGGAAATGAAGAAATAAAACTCAAGAGAAAATTCTAACAGTTACTTACATCCATGGAGTAATGCTCAATCTGATAGATGGTGGTCAGCCCCTGGGTCGTGAAATAGTCCAGACATGATGAACAGCCCAACCTCGCTAAGAAACTGCAGAGGGAGGAGGGAAGAGGAAGGAGGAAACAGAAAAAGAGAGTTCACCCCAACTGCATTGGCGAGATCAAGGAAAACCCAACATTTTGCCCTGGGATGCCATACAGAGGAGACTAGGGGCAGATAAAATATAGGTGGTCCTTGAATTGGAGGTTTGGGGATAATTAGTGACTTCAATGTTATGTCTATAAAAACTAAAATCAACTATAAGGATTCCTGCAGAGCAGTGATTTTCACATGGTGATTGAATTCTAAGGATTCTCTATAAGTGTCTTAGGAGCCATTGCACGGGGCGAAAGAAAGGCGTCTAGTGGTCACGTTCTCAGCCCTCTGGCCTCCTGGCTCCTCACTTCAAAAAGAGTGTCTCTACTTTAACTTTTTTTGTTTTGGGGGGTTTTGAGAATGGAACCTGTCCTTAGGATAGGTTCATGAGACTGAGAAAATATTGTAGGCCACTATACTACACAGTCATTAATGCTGTTTGATTTATCTCCTATTTGGAATACAGGCTCCCTTCTTTTTGGTGCTGGTCTCCAACTGAGGATGCCACCACCATCACAGAGCCAGAGCTGGGTGGAAGAACCCATCCACTTTGCCATCTGTTTGACTGACACTGCCAGTTCTACTGCATCAATCACATGGAGATTGACACGTATTATTCCAGCAGCCAAATGAAAGAATCGTTCTGTGCAAGAAGCAGAGGCAGACAATGTGTACTAGGCATGAGATTTGGGCACCTACTCTCGCCTTCTTGGGGAGCAGATCCTTCTGGCTTTATGCATTTCTCTCTTCTTGCTTTCTGAACTCCCCTGCCTCAAGTGTACTATTTCTCATAACAAAGCAGCAGAGGCCATCAGTTTCTTGAAAGTCCCTGTCATTTTTGCTAACATCAAAAACTTTTTTAGGGACATCCAACTCCAAAAGAATGATCTCATGTTGGCTGAGAGCTATGAGGCCTAGAGAGCAAGAAAGGGAGCGAGATAGCAAGTTTACTGCCTTTTTGGGAACCCCAGCCCTGAGCACCAATTTGAAATCCACAACTGAGAGTGTAAAAATGTGATGTAGGGGTTAGGGAGCAAGTGAAGATGGGGGAATAGGCATGAAAAATCACATGCCTATAAACTCACATTTTCACTTTTTTCCCATATGGATTATAGTGGTGTTCCTTGATTAAATATTGACCACTCCATAGATGAGAGATAATAGAGGCTGAATTTAAAACATAGGGCTGCTTTCTTTCTTCCCACCTGTGCTTTCAACTTTGGACAGTGTCCACCCTCCACCACCCAGAGATGCTTAGGACAGGTCCCCAGGGGCACATGCTGTGGACTCACCTGACAAGGCTGCAATCTGTGGGGTACGGAGGTGGGGGGGTGCAGTGGGAGGTGGATGGCATGGAGAGTGGGGGAGGGAGGGCCTGGGTGGGGCTGAGTCCATTCATGTCTCCAGCCATTGGCATGTGGGTGCCCATCATAGGAACTGAACAGAAGCAGGAGGAACAGAGAGGGTTACTGCCATCATCACGTACCAGCATCCCAGTGGTCCATCTTGCCTGGTTTAATGTTACCAAGGGCTTAATATACCAGGCTTCCTTTCTAGTTTCATCTCTCACTACACCCCTTCAAGCCCCCTATATCTCATCGATCAGAAGAATCACCAGACTCCAAACTAATCACACACCTCTTGACCTTTGTACATTCTCTTAGGTCAATTTCTTCCCATACCTTTCTCTTCTTCTAATGTTCTATCCAACTGCTCATTGCTCCTCATGTTAACGTTTTCCTCCTTGTATTTGCCTTCGTGGGTGATATGACTATTTCCCTCACTAGACTAATCTCTTCAAACATGGAGATTAGACCTTGTACCTGACTAGATCCCCACAGATCCTAGCACAGTGCCTGACACAGAGCAGATGCTCAGTAAACTTAGGTAAGTGAACAAATAAACAAATCTCTGTACAACAGAGTGACCTTTAGAACATTTGTTTGAGAATAGGAGGAATTATTGCAATATTTACAGGAAATCATAAGCCTAATAAGAAAAAAATGTGATTAAAAATCCCAGTTCTTTCTTATGGCCTCTTTCAGGATTGTATTAGGGAACACCAACAACACTGATGGTTTTTTACTAAATTATAAACTCTACACATTAACTTATAGAGAAGAAAAGCTTAATATCAATGATATTTATGAAAAAAATTTTGTTTTCTGGTAAAAAATAAATAGCATATTTACAAAATAAATGAATGCAATTTGCTTCTACTTCAGTGAATAGTAAGGTACCAAAGCGGAAAATCCTCTGCCACTCCCTAGACAGCTAAGAAGAGCACAGGCCTATTATGTCTCATTGGCTTCCCCTCTGAATTTCCTGACAACAGCAAAAGAAAATTGCAAAGTATAAATAAGAAAAAGTAGGCAAACTGTGTCACATGTATATGAAGGATCATCATTATCACTACAGTTTCATCATCCCAAGAGACAGTTGAGGACTCTAAGATGTCACAAGAAAGAAAATGAAGGAAAATGTAAATGGTCCCTTTTCCTTTTATTGTCAAAGTAGTAGAGCTGTCAAGGGGTCAGGTTTTGAGCCTTCAGATGCATTTATCACTAGTGAGAGAACAGTCTGGCTCTCACGTGTTTATTGCCACATCTTCATCTCATTAAAATCTGAACTTGTGCCATCAGACCATAGACAGTCCCAATCTAGCCTCCTTTAAATTCTTTAAGAAAGTCCAATCTCTTCAAGGCAACACTGAAACACCAGTTTGAAGGCTTGATAAAAATGATGAAAGGTTCCAGGATATAATACATCCTTCTGCATTTTTACCATCTTTTTTTAGTTTTGTCTTTTTCTTTCAACTTTGATATCTACTTTGCTAGATTAGGTTCTAGTGGACAAGATAATTATATTTACAACAAAGATATATACCAATCATCATCCACTTGGAGGACCAATTCTCACATTGTCTCTGACAGTTATACTTAGTTGTTATGAGGAATCTGTGTGTAAATACATAAAAGAGAAACTACTTTCTCTATGCCAATTCATTAATGACTGTGAATGGAATGGAGTAGACAAGTTGAGAAGGCCAAGATTGTAGGGACACAGAATCATAAAATGATAAATGTGCAGAGTGATGATTTTAGGAATGGAAAACTGAGCATTAGAGCAGAGAAGTGACTTGTCCATAGCTATATAGCTAATATTGCAGTAGAGTCTGTACTACAATCTATTTCTCTAGATTTTAAGTCCACCACACCACGCTACTTCCCACATATTGGATATACAATATTTCCATTTGGCTATCTCAGAGGATGTAGGAGGAGAGTCTTCATCCACGGTGACAGGAAGTGGACTGTTCTTTTCACAGAGATCCTCATCCCTACGAAAAGAACAGCCTTTTTCTTCATCTACCAATGCCCTTGGTAATGAACCACACACCGCAAAAGCGAGAAAAATTTCACCATGAAAAACTCAAGCCACTCAACTTTGATCTGTTTTGTCCCAATATGCTTCTCACTTAGCTCTTAGCCAGCCTTTCCCCCATCCCAGAGCCGAGACTTCCTCTAACCCTAGTCCTGTCAGTCCTCCAGTGGCCCCTAAAGGGAGTCGCTCTTACTGTTGGCTCCCATGCCATCAGGAATGGTGGTGGGAGTGAGGGCGTTGCGCTGCTGAGGGTTGATAAGCTGGCTGACGGAAGGCAGCTTGTTCATGCTGTTCATTTTATTCAGAGGTGGGGAGCTGTTACCGTAGGAAGACTGAGACTGCATCGAGGTCCTAGGAACACAAACATTGGAACGATGGTGAGCATGGGGCACTGAAGAGTGAGGAGTGGTCATTTTCAACAGGTCTCAGATTAAAACATGGCTTTACACTGTACACTTGCAAAAATATTCCTCTAGGATCAATGACAAGAAGTTACCTGCATTTCCGGCTGAGAACTTTTCCTCACTAGGGAGGGGTCACAACGCTATCATCAAATTATATTTTTCCTGAATCTTTAGAATACAAAGTTGAATATCTTCCTAAAGCATCTCCTTTGTGAGAGGGAACGAAATTGCATCCTCTCTTTTCCTCTATTTTTTTCTCTATCCCTTTCCCTTCTCTTACCATCAACTCAAATAAGTTTAAAAATCAATACAGGAAAAGAACTGAGTGGAGACACAAAAGCTCATGAAAGATATGGAGATGCTAAGCTCAAATGGCAGCAGAAGCATTTCATTTGTAGCTTCCTAGGCCATTTGGGATAATGCAGAAAATCATCACAAAGATAATCAAACAAGGCCTTTGGCAGCAGACCCTGCTTTTTATGCATAGGCACCAACATGGAAACATGATTTGTCATCTTAGATGTTCATGGGCCATAAAATAACCCATCGGAATGCCAATAGCTTCTTAAGCAGGAGAACCCTGGAGTCCAAACAACTGTTTAGTTGACTTTCCATGAGTCTCCCAGGGGACAAAGGAAAAAAAATCCATTCAGCATAACTTCAATTTGGAAATTTACTAGAATTTGTTTGTAGGACTGTGCATTATATTACATGTGATAGTCTCTACTCAACTGTCATTTCTGACTTTTTCTTTTAATATAGAACTGGTGATATCTACTAGACTCAAGGCAGGATATAAAGTCAGAAAATGAAAGTTGGAGTTTTCCTCCGGCCTATATTAGGAAGCTATAAGTCCATGTGCAAACCACTAAACATTCTGCCTTTGTTTCCTCACAAGAAAACTATATAAATAAAATACATATACAATTATTGCAAGAATTAGATGTTAGAGGTAGGAAAATAAGAAATGGCCCCATATTTGAGAAGCTCATAGATACATGGGGATAGTAACCCAACCTACCTTGTAGGGCTGTGGTGAGAACTGAAAAAGATGAGGAAGAACTTTATAGGCTATATCACATTAACAGTGAGTAATTATTGTGACCATAGAATGAAAATTGGACATTGAGCATGTTTCTAACTTATGATGGGAAAAGCTCTCTTACTAGACTTTTCAAATAAAATGTATTATTTTGTTCCTGTTTGTCTCCTCCTTGCTGCAGCCATATTTATATTAGAGGGGAGAGAGAAAAATGTTTCCTTAAGTTTTGTTTGCATATGTATCTGTGTGTGTGTATGTACACACAAAGCTATATATAAAATACAAATTTTGAAGGTTCTATAAGTGAACCAAGGTTCCAAACAAACATGGTATAATAATGTTTGAAAACATAATAAAAAGTGGATCTAGCACTTGAGTGTCACAGTAGTATGCTTGGTCTTTGAAGGTGCCATTCTGTTTTCCACAAAACAGGGACGGCCCCATTCCATATCAGAAAAGCCACAGCTAGGGGAATTCAAACAATATGCTATACACATATTTGCATAAATGTGCATGGCAATTAATGGACAATTAACAATTCTGCTGCATAGTACTATCACTGTCTTTAAGGTAAGAGGTCATGTCATTGCTTTTTCTCTTTAGCCCTTCTCAAGAACTCACAATTATAGATACATGCTGTATAAACAGGTGTTGGTATAATAAACCCTCCCAATTATAAGATACTTCAGGCTACCAAGCTCTCCTTTAGCCACTTTCTGAAAGAGTCTCACATCCCAGTGGAGGAGAACATGGAATGTCAGGGTAGGGATGGGCAGAAATTATTATGCCTATTATACAGATGGGTAAATATAAGACTCAAAGACAAAAATGTGCCCAAGTCACACACTGCCAAATGATGAGTAGAGAGGTGTCTTGGCTGCTAGCCTAAGAGTTTTTTTCTTTCATTCTGTGGTAACATCCCAGAAATAAGATAGTGGTGTACAATAGATTGGAATCAAGAAATGGGTGAAGTGGTAAGAGAAATGTGATGGAGCAGGGAACAAGGGAAGTAGTAAAGGGCACCCCCCCCCCTAACTATCATCAAATCTACTCCATCATGTATAAGAGTCAGCACATGTGGATATACTTAGGAAAATCTGTAAGTCCATAGCAAAGTCCAAGAAAGCACAACAAGCAAGGTGGCAAGGAGCTGTTTTGTCAGGTGCTTCTTCTCTAGTTTTGCCCATCACAAATTACCTAAGGTGCTTGGTGGCCCAGACTCCAGAGGCAGGTTGGTTCTGTGCGACCTAACGAGATTTCTATCTATCTCTCCCATTCCCCCCAAATCAGTCAAATGTACAATATTTGAGTTTATGGAGTCATTGATTGAACCATTAATATCCACATCAGGGAAACAAAACTATATTTAAAAGCTTTGCATTTTCCATGGACCCTCAGTAATAGTAAATGGCTTCTTCCAAATCCTGTTAAAATTCTCTTTTCCCTTTCCCTTTATGATCTTTATTTTTGATCATTTTATTAGTTCATTTATGATAAGCCACCTAAATTATTTTTGAGGAAGGTATGTAAGAAATCACAGATGAACAAAGAAGAAACATGAATTTTAGAGTCAACCGAAACATCTGGGTTCACCTTCTAGATCTGACACAAGTTCATTGACTTTGGTGTTATGCAAGTCTCTTGAGTGTCATTTTTTCAATCTGTAGAACAGGCATTATACTCATTCTAGAAGAGTTGCTATGAAGATTTAGTTAGATTATATAAGAGCCCTGGATTGTCCTATAATTTGTAGGTGCTCAAGAAATATTAGTTATCTTTACTATTACCACCCCTTCCCCAGAGTATCAAATGTTTACTACTCTAGCATTTAGTCAAGGGGATGAAAGGTGTCACTTTAAGAATTCATAGGAGGATGTGGCAAGGATTCTTATTTGAGCAAGTCCAGAATTTAGGGTGAGCAGGTGAATGGGAATAAGAGAGTCTGAAAAGATTGGAAATTCTGAATACTTCTCCTTTAATGTAGAAGTGAGTATTAAAGCCACAAGGAGAAGGTCAGGATAGTCCGTTTAATATTAAGCTTGCAATGTCTGACATACAAAGAATATTAAGTTAATTTTATGTGCTGTGGAATAGCAAGCAAGGTTGAATAAATTTGTGACCAATCTAAAGCCCTTCAAGAACCACGTTTTTTGGTTTTTTTTTTTCCTTTACAAATATAACGTCACAGTCCTTGAGTGGACAATCCCCAAAGACTGGTGATGAATCTGAAGAGGTGAAAAAAGTGTTCAAGGACAACAGTACTTGTGACTCGTGTCATTATAGTTTTCTTACTGCCTCTCCCCCCCAAATCAAAACAAAAACACAGAAATATGAAAACATTGACCTTTTCAAAAAAATAACAAGTTATAAGCCTCAAGTTGTTTTTTTCTAGAGGCACACAAGATTTTTCTAGGAATCCAATACAACAGAAATATGGGAAGGCATGTTTCATGTATCTGTAGTTTTGAGGAGAAATCCTGGTAAAGTCAAGTCCCAGTTCTTAATTCTAACAACTTAGGCTTCAGTCTACATTGCTAAGAAGAAATTTCAGTATCTCAGAGCTATAAGTGACCTTTATATCATCCAGGCTCAGAAAGCCAGTTTCCTGATTTCAAGTCTAGTGACTCTCTAGATGGTAGAAAGTCAAAATTCTTGAGAAGACACAAATCCAATGTCATCATCTCCACCTTGCTAGAGATACCTAGAATTCCACCAAAGGATTCCTTCTCTTACCTTAAATCTTCCATTGCCAATTACAAAGCAACTCTTTAATAGAATTTGGTGATATCTGGTGTAAATCTATTTTACCAAACCATGCCTGGAGTACAGAATCTGAGAGGGGAAAAGGGTATTGAGGAGTAGAGCAAAACACCCCTGGTATGTGGAAGGTCAAAAAAAGGGAAGACGTTGAAGATCAGAAAAGGACTGTTCCTTCTCTAAATTTTGTCCAGTGCCACCCTGCCTGTAGCTTTTCTCTCTAGGTGGGTAATCTTGCTTCGAAATACAAAGGGTAGCATTCATTTCTAGATAGATCAACTGTAATTGTAAAATATTTTCCATTAGTTCAAATGTGTGCATTTATGTAAAAGTTACTATAAAAAGTTAATATACATAAAAAACTTACATTAAAATAGAGTGAAAAAAAAAACTTCTGAAGAAAAAGCAAATGTTAAAAAAATTAAACATACTCATTAACCCTTTATGGGATTTGTGGGTCAAAATTATTAGATTAATTGAAATCATTTTGTAAATGGAACAAGGTCATATGATTTTACTAATATACTTTTATCTCAAACATAGTTTTTTCTTCTAGTGTTTTTTAAGCTACTATATTAATTATATTCATTTAGAACAACTGTTTTTGAAGATTTTAAAAGCAATGAAAGATCAGAATATATTGTTATTTCTTTAAAAAGAAGCATTGGGCAACAGCTTCAACTAAGATTTCTGGATAAATATTTGTTAATGCCTATGTCACAGAATTCAAATTATTTAATAACTTTGGATTTGATTTAAATTCCTTTTGGTAAATTTAGCAACTTAAGATGTAATTCAAGACTTCTTCAGAGATGTGAACAATTAATACTACAGTGCCTGGTTTCTTATGATGAAATTAATTACACAGTGCTAAAGCATATTTTCAAGTTAGTGTAAGCATTGTAATTTATTTTTAGAATTGACATTCTTGAAACAGAGTATCTTAAATAAAATACCAAATACTGACACAGTATAAACAGAACCAAAGCAATTGTTCTGTTATTCCTTTTCTTTAGGCTTCCACAGGATACTTCTAACACTTAAATAAAAACATTCTAGTATTGAAGAAATAAAACAAACAAACAAAAAAAAAACAGAGACAGAAAAGAAAAAAAAAACACTGCAAGATAAACCAAGATGCAAAAGTT